GTGTGTGTTTTAATCCTCAGCACAAGACAAGGCTGAACCAGGCTAGGGCAAGCCAAGGGTAGCAGTTGGAAATGTCTACTGAAGTTTAGAGACAAGTTAAAGCTGTTAATCTGTTTTCTGTTAATCTATAAATGTTGTACAATATCAACTTGAAGTGTTTCTTCTTTCAAAAACCAGACATTCCACTATATTCAGCCAGGGTTATTAAGATATTATAATGAAATAAGGAACAAATCTGAACCCTAAAATAAACAAAACATTTGAAAAGTTGTAGCACTAAAATTGGAAATTAATAAATACTAAAACGGAGCTAAAACTAAAATAAAGTAAAGCTAAACAGAATAATTTGTGCACATACTATAACAAAATGACTAAAAATTAAACTAAACTGAAAATAAAAACAAAAAATAAAGAATTTAAATTATTAATTAAAATCTATAATAGTATAAATAATACTAAAATGACATCATTAAGCTTGGCAGCTGCTGGAATGCATCATGGACAAGCTTTGGAATGATATGCATGACAGGCAACTGTGACACTTGTATGTCTTTTGCTGCTGTAAGCAGTAATCTTTAACATAAAATTACTAGGACAATCTATTTCCGCTTGTTTGTACTTGGCAAAAACATACAGCTGCAAAGTCAAATTACATCACAGGTGCAAACAGAAACTAAGATGTGTGACTTGTTCACCTGTTGCGAAGAATAACATCACAAAGAGGGACTTTCTCACACACACGCTAACAACTCTCTACAGAGCAGCATTCTCAGAGCTCTCCTGCTTTCCTACTAAATCTATCAGTGATTTTCGGAGACTCTCCCAGTGTTGTCATATCTGTTGGTTTCTATGTCTGTTTCTTCATCCTTATTCCTTCTCAGCTCCTCTTTCTTTCCTATCCCCACCAGTTTGCACTCTCTTGGCTGTCTGATTATCAGTGTGTATGTAAACAGTTGAATATACAACCAACTCTTGTGGCATAACTTGCTCAAAGTACCAATCCCAGCATTTAAAACGAGTTACACTTTAAATAAATGTGATCCATGGTTAAAATATAGATATGATTCCTTGTAAACATGATCCCATAAAAGTAACATAATACACAATCGAATCTTAACACTAAATAAACACTTCACTTCAAATCAACTTAAGTCTGCAAACTATAGGCCTAGATTCCCATTATATCGTTGGGGAATAAAACGACCATTTTCTAAAAAAAAAATAATAATAATAATAATAATAATAATAAATGATTAAAAGCTTTGCTTCATTTTTCATGTTGTCAACAAAGAAGAAGCTAAATAAGTTGTTTCAGTAAACTACACAAGCTCTTTAGAATAGACTTATGAGTGTGCGTATAGACAACAAGGTAGTTTATTAACTATGTAGTTAGTTATGTAAATAACTAGGATTTTGTTTCATGGCCCCATCTTGAGTTGTCTGTTTTTCCAGACAACCTAAAACAACCTGTTTACGTTCGAGCTGGAATAAAAACAATTTCCACAAAAAAATAAATAAATAAATAAAACCGCAACAGCTTGAACAGTATTTTTAAATAACACATACTTCGCCTTTAATGTCCAAACGCTTTTTTCTTCCACACCTGACAAAACTTCGCCTCAACAGCTCTGTTTCCCTGTGTCATATTCCACTGGCGTTAAACCGATCATAATCCCGTCTCGTTATCGTTTTCATAATGATAGCTCAGTGCAGTTCGCGGCGAAGGTTCTGTTGAGTCTATCAGAGTCTATCAGATGATCATCACACTTTAAAGATCCAGAGATCTCTGACGCCACTGCGCTCGCTCGGTCACCTGAGCGTGGATTAGAAAGGTGAGCTCGATCACAAGCCCCGCCTCTGCTCTCTACACCCGACCGGTGATTGGCTGCTGCTTGGGCGCTTGCTCATATAATTTTTTAATGTCTGTTATAAAATTACAATTATTAGGCTATTCACGGTACTCGCACGATCATAGTCCAACAGAAAAGAGCTACATTTCTTATTATTACGTGTCCTTAAAGTATTCCATTTCAGATAAGCGATCTACAATAATTTAAGATAGGCCTATCGTTGTTAATAAATAGAAAAACTCGCCACAAGAATAAAAATAATTAACAATAAATTCTAATGTCTTGTTGTTCTAACGCACTTATTTGAATGGGCTATTATAAACATAGATACGTATATATATATATATATATATATATATATATAATTATAAATACATATAATATTCGATTATGTCTTCATAAAGTGTGTTGTCTTTTCTATGGGTTCAGTGTGGCTGTAGACTACCAAAAATGAGAGTACATTTATTTTTTCTTTCCTTTGGTGCGCCCCCCACCATAAGATCCCCACTCCTGTCCAGTTAGTGGCGGTAATTAACCAAAAAGCAACTGTAATATATCCCAGAAGAAGAGCACTTGTCTCAGTGGAAGGATGAAGGAATCCATACTAAAAACACCAGTGATTTAAAAAAGCCAAAAGCACTCAGTGATGGGAGAAACGAAGCTTTTTGAAACTGAATTATTAGACTAATTGCTTCGCAAAATGACTCACTTTTAGGAACTGGTTTTGGAAGCGCTCGAAACATCGCACGCTGGCGACACCTGCTGGTCAAAACGTAAATGGCACGAGAACACAGCCCAAGAGAAGCCCTAAAAAGTGGCTTTACAGAAATCAGACTTTATTGATATACACTGAAAAAAAAAGCTATCTAAAACTTTGAATTTAGAAAATGTAAAACTCAATAAAATAAGATAAATTATGCATTGATTGAACAAAAAAAAAGGAAGAAAGAAAGAAAAAAAATCGTTATTGTACCAGGACTGTAACAGGGTTTGAAAATTTGTGCCATCTGTGGTGCGGTGTCAAGAATTGTATTACACCTAGCCTAAAAAATGCAGGCTGCATTGTAAACACTATAAATTTAAATAGAGAAAGATATGTAACTGTAACAATAAACAGCAGAACAATGTACACATTGTGCTGGATTGAAGGCCTATAGTGCAGTCTTGAGCAGTTGTGCTGTAAAGTTGAATTGTTCCTGGCTATTCTGGTTGGTGTTTTCGCTGTAGAACCAGTCGAACAGTGATATTACAATAGACTGATGGGTGAGGTGTAATTTCTGTGATAACTAGATCAGAAAGTGTGGACAGGAGTTTGTGGTGGTCCAGCAGAATAAGGACAGAAATTTTGAAGCTTTTGCCAGCCACAGAGTTTCAGCGACATGGAACTGCAGTGGGATTACTTCAGTTGTGTTGTTGATGTGTGTAAGTGCAGGTAAAAGGGATGGCAAGAGGGTGAGACACCTTGTACAATATGGTCTAGACATCGTTATACATGAAAGGAGAGAAGGAGATCAGTTTGTAGAGAGAAGTGACTGGTTGTGGGGTGTAGAGAACTTTGTGCTGATGGTTGCCAGCTTATTCGCGGAAAAAAATGCCAAAGCTACCAGCTGTCAGAGAAGCTGGGAAGGAAGTCTACCACTAGAGATTGCTCCAGGTGGATCTTAATGTCATCAAAGGCTAGTAGTTGATTGTCATTCTCAGAGGAAAGAGGACAGCATTTCTCCAGCACATTATCTTTTTTGTGAGTGTTTTGATCATAAAAAATGTTTTGATCATAATGTCATTTGATCACTTTAACACTATCAGAGAAAGAGTAGAAAATAAGAAGGTTATCTTACTTATTTTCTTATCAAAAGCATTGAATGTTTCTATAATTTTTTTCCATGTCAGCTTTCCAAGTTAAAGGCACAATATGTAATTTTTTGCCGCTAGAGGGCGCGTATTCAAAATAAACAAAGAGACAAAGGCGTAGTTTGATGACACCGTGACTGAGTGTGGACTCATGGGAGTTGTTGTCTTCATCACCACAGCCGATGCAATCTGACGGGACTCGGGCAGAAATCATGTTCATAGATAAGCTAATGATTTATTAACGTGGTAGAATGAAGCAGGGTGAGGCTGAAAGCCGTCAAAGCGTAACGAAGCCGCTGAACGAGCGTGACACACGGCTCGAAAGCAGCGGAGCTTTTATTATGTCACAGTCGACCGCTTCCGCTCCTTCCGGTCGTGCGTATGTGGGGAAAAAAAGCAGCGCTGTTTTATCATACTAGATACATTTGAAAGTTCTGTTATAATGCTACTCTGTGCGGTCATCACCTGTCTAATAAAACCCATAGCGTCTTTGCATGTTTTCTACAAAACAAAACCGTAAATCGAGGGGTTATGACATCATTGGCAGGCGACAGGCGACACTTCAAGACCCCAAGTGTGTCCTCTTTTTTTATTCTCAGCCTCTTAGCCCCGAACTTCCCATTTAGGCATTAGTGGTCATGATTTGAGTGCATCGTGGGCCTTCTAAAAGAGCTAGGCTTTTGAGTCCCCCCCCCCCATATTTAAAAATGATATGTGTGCAGATATCTGCCAGTGTTTAGTGTTATTTATATACTATAAATTTAATAAATTTATTTAATTTTTTTGTATTTTTATATTTTTAGTTTAAGTTTTAGCCTTAAATTTTTATTATTTTTATTATTTTTATTTTTTCTAATTTTATTTTTTATTTATAATTATTTTAGTACTTCAACTTATTCTATTTCAGTTAGTTGCCGAAAGCAGCATTTCTAATTTTCACATAAGTTTAAGTTTTAGTTTTTCATCATATATTTAATTTAATTTTATTTTCAGCTTTCAAATAATGAAAATTATTTTGAATAGTTTTAGTTTTAGTAACCAGTAACAACACTGATGTCTGCACGGTGTGACAGCG